CTCCATATTATTTTTGTTATATATTCAAATAGTTGGTATTGTTAGAAATCATTTTGAAAGTATGTATTATTATTGGTTTATAAGTGATAGGTCGTGTTATTAAAAGTTATTATCCCTTAAAAAAACCACATGTCACTCATAGTTTCCTTATGAAGTTTCGTTTCATTTTTAGCTGGATGTATCATTTTTATTCAATTGATCTGAGCTGTGATTTGGATTATCCTCCTGAATGTTACAGGTCAAGACAATATTCCTTCCAACTGAAAAGCCTATGACTTTGGAGGCATGTGCTCCACTGATTGCCACACTTCCTTTGGAGGTAGGACACAAACACTGTGGGTTTTGCTTTCGTTTTTCTAGAATAGGTCAACTGGTCAACTCTATTTTTAGTTCTCAAAAAATGGAAGTGTTTATCTGTATCCATTTATGCTGGTTTTCTAGATCTTATTTCTTAATATACTGAATGTCATATATGTTTCCATGCTCCTGAATATAATACAACTGTTTCTGTTCTGAAATACATGATGCTTTCCATTGTCCCGCACCTTTTTTCATACGTATGTATATGCATGCAAGCGTGTTTGTTTTTTAGCCTGGGTTATTTGGAAAAACATGTTTGCAGATACTGATTATGTGATCTGAAGCTCTTTTTTACCTGAGCTGTCTTTCTCCATTGCCCTAAAGCATGAGCCATTTTTTCAGGTAAGGGGAAAAATTGGCAACTTTATAATGGGTGTGTTTGCTGTATTTCAAGGTATGCTCTACCACTCTGAATTCGGGAGAGATATGATATCATCTACTACCTCTGTCCCACTATCTTTTTGGAACATGAGGTAGTGAAATGTATATTAATGGAAGTGTAATTATGTGGTTTGTATTGAATTTGTTAAGTTCGATCGATTTTGAACCACACAAATATTACCAAATATAGCATGCGGCAAACTTAGTGGGATGATGAAAAGGAAAGATGAGACAGAGATACTAGGATAGAGCGAGTATCTATTATGAATAGACTACTAGATATAGCAGATTATCAAGTGGCATTTAGTCGGATATCACGAAGTGCATATCTTTGGTTCTGGAGACGTAACTATTTTCCTTGTTCTTTTTCTTTCCATTTATTCCTGCAGTCTGATGTTCTTTTTCTTTCCATTTATTCCTGCAGTCTGACGAAGTTATCTATTACTGAACGCCCTTTTTAAAATTGTCTTTTTCCTCGTGAACAGACCTGGACTTCAGTTTTCTTGAGATGAACCCATTTGCGCTTGTTAATGGTGAACCATATCCCCTGGATATGAGAGGAGAATTAGATGACACAGCCGCCTTTAAAAACTTTAAGAAGTATGCATAAAATGTAAAATTCTATTGAGCAAAATGGGGTGAAAAAGAAGTGACTAATATTGATTTCCAGGTTTCGTTGATGTCAACTCAATCTAACATGTTTTTTTCTCTCTAGGTGGGGTAATATTGAGTTCCCTCTACCTTTTGGGAGAGTTTTGAGCCCAACAGAAAGGTTTATTCATTCATTGGATGAAAAAGTAAGTACAAATGGGTAACATATTTGAAATGTAAATGTGATTGGATCAGCGTGCTTATGTATCTGATATCCTTAATGCTATTCAATATGGCTATGTCTAGTAAGACTCGTTGCGTTTACGGCATAACTTGCATCCTCTTGTGTGGGCATAAGATGAGTTATTGAGTGTCTGGCTTAATAACTTCTTTCCCACGCTGTTTTCAAGTTTCAAAAGTTGCCTTTCTTGTTGATGTAATGCTTGAACCATGTATTTTGCTCCAATATTATGTAGACCAGTGCGTCTCTGAAGTTTACTGTCTTGAACCCCAAAGGACGGATCTGGACAATGGTAGCTGGTGGTGGAGCAAGTGTAATATATGCTGATACAGTGAGTGCCCTTAATTATTCCATTGTTGAACTGGTCGATAGGATGTTCCAAAACTGGTAGACTCCAGTTCAGTTTACGAGAACTGCGTCAGGGGGCAACCTTGCTTAGCAAGGAGGCAGCCCCCACATTCTATTGCTCGGGTTAAATATCCCAGCAGACTATCCGTCTTGTTCTTGGAGCACCATCTGGTTCTGGGAGCACATGGGGATGGTTACATGTGCACCAAAAGGGATGCAATGTTCTTTATTCATATCCGCAATTCCGCATACTTGAAATGCCGACTTGCTCACCTAGTCCTCTCGATTTAACCAGGTTGGAGATTTAGGCTATGCATCTGAGCTTGGTAATTACGCAGAATATAGTGGAGCTCCAAATGAAGAGGAAGTTTTACAATATGCTCGTGTAGTTCTTGATGTGAGAATTTAAGCTTTATTATTTATCGATCAATGTGGAGAACATGTTTGAAGATATCAACTGTATTGAGCAATTTTGTTTTGTTTTGTTTTTGAATCAATAGTGTGCCACAACTGATCCAGATGGCCGTAAGAGAGCTCTCATTATTGGAGGGGGCATTGCTAATTTTACAGATGTTGCCTCTACATTCAATGGAATTATCCGAGCTCTAAGGGAGAAGGTTGGTTATATTGATGAATAGTACACAACAGCTTGCTCCCCCCCCTGAATCTTCAGTTTATTAATGTGAATATTTATTTTTAAAATTAATAGGAATCCAAGTTAAAAGCTGCTAGAATGCACATTTATGTTCGGAGAGGTGGGCCTAATTATCAAACAGGTTTGGCAAAAATGCGTGCATTGGGAGAGGAGTTGGGAGTTCCTCTAGAGGTACACACTTCTTCTCTTTCGCAGTATTTTATCTGGTTGGGCACTTATAATGAAAGATTCTTTTTGTTCCATTACAAACATTTTGTATTATATGAAACCATGTACAAGCACATTATGAAAATTTTGCAGGATGCTCATGAAATAGATTAAATTGTACTGAATAAGTAGTCTTTTCTCGATTATCTTCTGAGAATGACTTATTTCGCCACCTTTCGCTTCCTGTCTGCAATAAGAAACTTTATTAAAATTCTACAAAGCATGTTGATGTTATTTCGGACGTTTTTTCTTATCAACTCCATTACCTGGGACGTGCAACCCTGCAGTTCATCACTACTTCCTAACCTCTGCCAATAGTATATGGTAAAAGAAGTATTAGTTGTTTTTTATTGTTTCAGGTTTATGGACCCGAGGCTACAATGACTGGCATTTGCAAACGAGCAATTGATTGTGTTATATCCACAGCATAAATTTCAAAGTCTCTTTCCTTTTTGTTTTTTAGGCTTCTTTATTTTCCGTGCTTTAGTCCTTCCAAATCAAAACTGAAAGTGCATTTTCTGAATTCATGAAACTTTTGCAATAACAGAGAAGTTTGAAAAGAATTGTTTGTCGGCATTCGAAGGATAATCATATGTAATAATGCAAATGACCTATTCGCAACATTATCATAAGTAAGAGCAGGAAAAATATGCTCCCACTCTCATTATATTTACATTTTACTGCATAAGTTTCATATGGTCCTTCTACCTATTGTCAAAAATATGCTCCCATTCTCATAAAAATATGCAGGAAAAATACTGCAAGTTACCCGGAAGGCCGGAATCCTTCTCTTCACTTTAGAAACAGGTCTGGTTTGGACAAAATTTGAGAAAACTGTCAAATGGTCCTTCTACCTATTGTCATAAAAATTAATTGGGTTCTCGTACTTCTATGTGAATCAATCAAGCCATGGAAGTGTTAAACAACAATCAATTTTGCTATTTAGCCGATTTAATATAGATACTGCCGGTTAATGTTGACATGGACACTCATGTGGCAATAAATTTTATTTTTTTCTTTTCCTTTTATTTCTCTCTCTTTCTTTAGGCTGACTTCTTCCCTGGTTTGCATCGGCCGGACAGTTTGTTTTCCTTTCCTTAAATGTTATAACATGTACTATTAGATGATATAAATAACTTTTGGGTAAAATGTCAAATAGGTTTTATATTATTATAAAAAAAGTCAATTAGATTCTCATATTTTTTCATGAATCAATCAAGTCTATGAAGTGTTAAAAAAACTATGTAGTGTAGTATCAACTATCAAATTAGCTTTTTAGTCGGTTGATACTCTCTTTCATTTTTCTCCCCCCCCCCCCCCACCCCGTTTTTCTGCCTCGCCCCAATTTCTCTCTTTTCTATTTCTTTATCTTCATTCCTTTTCGATTCTCTTTCTTTGGACAGTTGAAGAAGGCATGGCCTATGGGAGGTGGGTGGCGGTTTGGGAAGATATTTGAGATGAACCGGCAACGGTTGGGTTAGTTGTGGACTTGTGGGCAACAAGACACGGGTGGGGAAGTTGTGGGCCACAGGCAGCGATGGGCGATTAGGTTGCGTCTATGGGCGATGGGTGGTAGATTGGAGAAGTGTGGGCGAAATTTTGGGCTACGGTGACACGGGCGGCGTTTGGGGAAATTGTGGGTGGCATCTGGATGGCGGCAGCATTTCAGCCTTCCAGGGAGTTTTGGGCTACGAGAACTTCATTGACTTTTTCATAAATCATAATAGCACTAAATCTATTTGACAATTTTTCCAAAAAAAAAATATGTCATCTAATAGTCCAATGTATAACATTTATCTCGCCCTTTTTATTCATATCATCTAATGAAGCTTGTTGAGTAATATGGGCTTATACTGTGATCTTTTTCTAAAATTAAAACGTCCAATGAGCTTAGTTATATCAAAACAATTATCATATCTACAAGACTACACCTACAAGAAAGTTGTGGTATAACAGTCGATGAAGAGCACGTGAATGAAATGTACACATTATAGGCTATTTAAAAACCTATTTTCAACTTATTAGCCGAAATGTTACTTTTGATTTCGTGCATTGAATTATATACTCCATTAGTTTAACAAGTAATGTCTTTTTTTGTCAAAATAAGTAATGTTTTTTCGTCAAATATGTGACTTTAATAATCAAAACAAGCTTCATTAGTTTTTTTCTTTACTTTATTAATAAAATGTGACTTTTCAATAATTCAACCATTCAACCGTTAAAAACTTTAGTCTTTTAAAAATGAAATATGCTCTCAAGCATAACAAACACATAGGCATATAGGATTTCCATGAGTTTCATTAGATAGCTGTTCAATGCTCTACGTAGTTAGATAATGTATGCAGTTATGCACGTAGAGCTAATTACTACTACAAGCTAATAACTGCATTAAGTAGAGTCTTGACGGTTTTGAGGATAATGAAACACAACCCATGTACCACAATATACTAGAGAATTAATGTTTTTAGTTTTGTACTTGCGCAACGTTAGGGCATTACCCATTGAACTATCATGGAGCCACTTGATTCCTGCAACCAACTGAGAAATGGCAAAATTAGCGTTATAAAACGTTAGGCGTCATAAGTTTCTAAAAAGGAAACAAAATTAGCATGTAAAATGTTGCTTGAGACAATGTATTGTTTTGAGAAGCAGAAAGCACTTGAGTGTACTTACTCTGAGCTTTCAAGATCAAAGGGAGGCAAAATTCCAGAAAAGCTAAGCCATAATCCATGATACAGTAAAAATGTAAAGAAGACTAAATGTGCAAGTGCAAAGGTGGATGCAATAAAAGATTATCAAAACTTATGGTGGCATTGGCCCAGGTTGGGTTATGAAAATCCTGGACAGTACAGAGGTCCAATGCTAGCGGGCCAGGCTGGGTTTTTGGAATTTCTGGTTCAGGTCAGGTTTGGGCCCGGTTGGTCAATGCCTGGCTAAAAAAGTTTCCCTGTTACATTTTTGTGATTTAAAGTTTTAAACCTGTTTTCAAACGTTTTATGTTCAAAAATAAAAATGACGAACTACATATGACATACTCGGTAATAATCATCAAATCCATCAATCATTAATCCAAACTAGTGCTTTACCTCTGAACTTTAAGGTTCCTTCAGAGCTTTAATTTGAAGCCCACTGACAGGAAGTTGTCTTTCTTTTTCTTGGAACCATCCGTTTGAGTCTCTCCTTTCTCCTGCTTCTCCCGAGAACTTTTTTGAGCTTTAGTAGGTCCACCGTAACCCATCATGGAAGGACTGCCCAAACATCGGTTACAACTTACAACAACATTTTGCTATATTAAAGAATAATTAATAACAAAAAGCTGCTTCAACATTTTTTTAAAAAAATGCACCAAATATTACTTCATCTCAAACACAAGTCCTATTTGGTTCAGGTACATCCTTTTCAACTGGAAAGGTACAAGTGCTAAAAGTGATGTAATCACATGAAAAACCAGTTCCAACTTAAGAAATAGAACACTCTTTTTTGTATGGAGTACAATTTTATTAAAAATAAGACCTTATCATAGTACCGATTGAGTAGATCATATACTCTGCTGTATGTACATATGAAACATGTCAAGTTTAGTATCATATAGTATAGTATAAGTTATTAACTGTAAGTGCAAAAGAAGTGTGAAGAAGTACCTGTCATTTGTTTGCAACTCCCGAACCCCACGTCCATACACAGATTCAAATGTTTCAAAGTAATTAAATATGGTAGCATCAGCTTCAGAGTCAAGGCTCTGGAGACATTCAAAGCTTCCAGATAAAAGATCGCAAGACAATAGGTTCTTAGAGTTTTGGAAGAGCAATTCATCGTTTTTCCAACAGCCCACTAGCTTGGGAGGTGCTAGTGAAGCATATGTAACAGTGAACCTCTTGAACCAGGACGCACTGTTATGATAATCACCCAAAACCCATACCTCGAAGGCACTACAACCATGTTTATCAAACGCAACCAGAGAAAGACAGCCATTGATACACACAAGTTGTCTCTCAATGGAACCATCTGTTCTAGGTACAGCCATTTTTCTGAACTCCTCTTTCCCAATGTCAAAGACAATGATCTTTTTAGAATTGTACCAGTGCATACACCCATTAACGATAGTGGGCGTGCTACCAGTCAATAAATACCTAAAATTACAACTGATCAACTTCCAGGTGCCAGCACTAAATGCATACACCCAGACCAAGAATGAATTTCTTTGGTTGGCAAACCCAGGCATGTTCCATACTCTTAAAAGCTTGTAATCATTGGATTCAGGAGAGTAGCCAAAACCTAAATAAGTTGACACACCCCCACAGAGCGTGATATTCTTCCATGTTGCTAGTTCGGACGAAGCAACCTCAAAAGGAGCACCTTCAGGGACGTCAATAATTCGATATTTAGTGGTGGCCGGATTCCAAATGACAATTTTACGAGAGGCGTTAAGGTTTACGGTGTGATTGAGACTCACACAGACCAACCCATTACAACAACCATCAACTCGAAAATCATTCACATAATCAGATCCCAAATGGAAAGGAAACCGCAAAGCTGTTTTAGATAAAGGAAACAAAACCTCGCCGCTTTCTTCGAGGTTAGAGACGGGGACTGGGGATGTGGAAATGGACGTGACGGAGCGGCTGTCAGACTCTCTAAGGAGGAGAGAGTGTGTTGAAGGAGCGCTGCCTGCTAGTTGGTGAGCGAGATACATACGAGCGAAGTCGGGGCTGGTGATGAACTCGCACCAACCCTTGCTCACAGCTCGGAACCGGAGGAGCAACTTTACTGGCAACCTCAGAAGAATTTCCACCACCGCAAAGCCGGGCAAATCGCAGTTCGGCAGAGCCATTTTTCCTTCAACAGTTGCTTTTGTTCCAAGCGCGGTAGACGCAGAACTTCCCGAGCTAGTGAAGGCTGGAGGGAAGCAAAGTGAAGGCCGGAGCTCGAGCAAAGAAGCTTATCCGGACAGCTCTATAAATGATTCGTTGATCCCTGTACCAGAGTTGATGGATATTTGTACGCGTGTCATGAAAACCTAATTGGAAAGGGAATGAACAGGGCCGTCTTTACGATTTTTTGGGCCCCAGACATCAACTAAAATATATTTTCATATTAGTGAAAACTAGTAAATTCACCCGATGCGTGATTTGAAAATTTTTTCTTTCAAATTTATGTGTGCTTAGTGAGTCAAATCACACTATCAATCGATGACAGCATGTCAGCATCTATCTTCATGTAATACTGATATACATCAAAACATTAAACGAAACACACTTATAATATTATGGTCAAACTGAGAGTATTAAACATTACTTAAAAAGATAAAAAAACATCCAACTAATACGTTGAAATCATACCATTGTTGAACACTTTTGAATACTATTTAAGAACTCGGGTGTGTGCAGTTCCACCATTCGATCGGTCGTATAATCTACCTTAAAAGCACTGTCATAACTAAGATATGTTCTTGAAACTTCACAAACTATTAAGAGTCGTTAATAGCTTCAATCACAGTCAGTGTCGATGCCAAAATTCAACATATTTCGGAAATATGCTTTCAATTTTGCAGCTATAGGATCTCCATCTGTGCGTATCAATAGTTCATCAGGAATAGTAATACGAACATGACCATCATTACTTTCACCCACAACACCGTCACCAATGTTGGCAATCCAATCTGAAAAGACTTTCAAATCATAAAAATATGATGGATTAGTCATGTTTAGCAGGCGCATATTTTTTGTCAAATGAAAAACTGGAATTCCGACCACATATATGATGGATTAATCATCGCATTGACTACATCTTGTTTACTCTCAAGAGGTATCACCGGCAACACCTGCTGAAAATCAAAGGTTTATATAAATCAATTAAGATAAATTATTTATAATGACTAAGTAATAACATGATTATAAATTTACACGAATTTCATTTTTTAGACGAATTGTCTTTCTAAATAGGTAAAATAAAGGAGTAAAATATGTGAAAGTGTGTTATGTCATTCTTGAATTATACTTGAATCTAAATTTGTGGCAAAATTCCAAATAGGTGCTTCTACTATTTTTAATATCCAAGTATGGCCTGGTCTGGTTTGTTAAGTTTGGTTTGGTTTGAGACTGAAATAAGTCTAAGTATAAACATATCAAGTAATATGGTGACTATGCATTTATACGAATTGCATTTTTTATACGAATCGCCATGGTAAATTGGCAAATCAGGAGTGCAAATATGTGAAAGTGTGTTATGGCCAGTGTTCTAAAACGCTTAGAAATGCGTCGCCTAGGCGAGCGTAGGCTTGACGCGCCGGCAGAACGCCTCGCCTACTCCAAAGGCGTGGCAGAAGGCGTTTATACTGCCTAGGTACGGGTTTTAGTTGTCACCGCAACATTATACGCTCACCCGTGGATGGGATATCTAATATATAGAGTTTTGGGAAGGACGGGTATACTAATTTGTCCGGTGTGGGAACTTTGAATTCCAAATATACTCCGTATTAGGGGTGCAAACGAGCCGAGCCCGATTTTCTACAGGCTCGAGCTCGAGCTCGAAATATATAGCATCGGCTCGAGCTCGGGCTCGGCTCGAACGAGCCTACAAAATCGCGGCTCGAACTCGACTCGCAGAAGGCTCGGTTCGACTCGGCTCGGCTCGAGGCTCGATAACCATTATGATGCTCCATAATGAGTCTGTAGTAAAAATTCACTGTCATCGGCCCATTCTAAGTTTTTCTACTGAGTAGTAACGACCTAAGCCTAAAATATTATAAAATTTTACTAATCAGCATATATTATATACTCCCTCCGTCCCCTTTTAAATGTCCCGTTTTACCATATTGGGATGTCCCTATTTAATTGTCTCATACCTTATTTGGTAAAGTTTGTGTGGTTCAAAATTATTTTTACTTTATTCTTACTTTATCAATTAATATCAATCACACAAACCCACTTTTCTTAATACTCGTGTCATACTCTTCCGAGACATTTAAAAGGGGACGGAGGGAGTATATCATATATATTACTCCGTACATTATAACAGTATACATTATATATTAATTTATATTGCATAGTAATATATTATATATGATTATATAATATATATATATGTATATATATATATATATATATATATATATATATATATATTATAAATATTCACATATAAAATTAGGCTCGCGAGCCGGCTCGCGAGCCAGCGAGCCTGAAATTAGAAGGCTCGAGCTCGGGCTCGACTGCTTAACGAGCCGGCTCGAGCTCGGCTCGAGCTCGAATTTGACCGATCCCGATTCGAGCTTTGACCGAGCGGCTCGCGAGCGGCTCACGAGCGGCTCGGCTCATTTGCACCCCTACTCCGTATATAATGCAGAGCAAAGTGGGGTGGCTCCATTGAATTGCCAACTCTGTATATGAAACTAAATTTTTTCAAACTATATCCTAATTCTAGCAATTTTCTTTATTATAATTGTTACGGAATATAACTTATTACGGAGTATAATTTATCAACCAACATCTATAATTCGTTTTTTTGTATTCTAAAGTAATATGTAAACCTTTGTTTGTGCTTTTGAAGAATTTATTCTATTGAAATATAAAAAGGAATTTAAAAATAATAATCATAAAAAAGTCATTAACAAAAATGTGATTTGGTAACTTTGACCGACTATAATTGTGTTCAAACTTACATCGCAGTGACAAAATGTGTAGTCAATGAGATGTAACTTTGATCACAATTATAGTAAACAATTGTCTGTAAATTATGTTTTTACTTAGACTGTAATTTGCTGGTGTGGTCTGGTAATGTCTGATTTATTTGTATTTTTATAATTATTCAGGTCTGGTTTGGTTTGATCTAGTCTAATCTGACCTGATATGTTCTGGTCTGGGACGAATTACAATGCAAGTAAAACATCCCAAGTCACATTTTGGTCCACACTTTTTTATAACTAATATCATTGGAATGTATTCATATCAAAAGTGTAATTTTGGTATATGATATTATGTAATATTACATATACATACATAATAAATAGAAAAAAATGAAATAATAGTAAAAAATGAAAACGCCTTTTCACGCCTAGGTCTCGCCTAAACCCGCCTAGGCTTCAAAGGCTTCGGGCTTGGTTGTGCCGCCTCGGCACGCCTTACGCCTTTTAGAACATTGGTTATGGCATTATTAAATAATACTCAAATATGATAATTCTTCAATCGGGCCTTAACCGGCTCTATTCAATCCTAGACCGAACCCCAAGCTAATGAAAGCTGACTCGAACTAAATGTAAAGGATTTTTTTTCGATCTCTGATTTTCATAACTGATATCTTATAAATAATTTTTTATATCATCGAAAAACCAACAGAGACCGGACAGATTCCACCCTTAACGTCATCATCCCGAAACCCAGCCAATAATAAGGTTATGTGAAATGTACTACTGAATTTTTACATAAAAGTGACTTTAGTTTTTTTTAAAATAAATAATTTTCCATATTTTTTGAACTTCATTAATTTATTTAAAGTTTTTCTTAGTAAAAACTCAAATTTATTTCTTCATTATTTACAGCCTTTGGATCATCCCGTTTGAAAATCTTCCATTTAAACCCAGCCCAACCTATTTGACCAAAGGTTATACTCCGCATATATGTTCATCAAAATAGGGTAAGTTTAGTAAAACCCTTCACCTTCAACACAACAGTAAAGCGGCGACCACTACAACACGCTGATGTGTTCTATCGTACGGACGCCAATCTCTCTTTTGTCCTTGAACACCACTCTCGTGAAGTGGTTCTCAATCGACATCAGAAATCGCCCTCGAATGAGCTCTCATATCCTAACCTGCCCAATCCTAGATGATAGGCTCCGCCGCTCCGGTTGCTGTTATGCCGTCTCCACCGTCGTGTAATCCACCAACGGAATCGTATTCGATACCCGAAAGCACCAACCGCAACTTTTCCTTTATCGTGAGCCTCGAAGTGGAAAACCGCTCAAACTGGAAGAGCAGTGAATGTAAGGTTTCGCTTGAAATATCCAGATTCGTAAGTGCATGCCTATATTCCACGTACATTTGTGTTATATTTGATCCCAAATCACTTAAAATCCATGTAGTAATTTAATTCTCATTTGTTTAATTTTTGAGCATGTTTTTCCCATTAAATTTGTATTATGTTTAAGTTTTATGAGCGATAATTAGTAATCCAAGGGAATCGTGTTGTCAATCTATTATTGCTAATATTTGTTTGTTGTTGGCAGGTAAGCTACTGTACGTGAGTATCAATGAATGCAAGATTTTGGCAGGTAATCCATGAAACTGTCTCTTTACTAAATGGCTGATCCTTAAACAAAAAATGTGGTGCACAATTGTTTCCTGTTCCATGGAGAATCCTTACTTTTCTTGGCTAAACTCCTTATTCATTTCAAATAAAGGTCCAAATCGTATAAAACTAATGTATCTAAAATCCCTAACTGTTTGTTTTTTGTTTTTTTGACACATGTTAATCTATTTATGATGGTTTTGAGAATATTTTACCCAACACAACTTACTTGCCAAGAACATTCCCAGAATACTGAAGTCAAAACTAAATATATTATTACACACTTAACCTTGGTTCTGTATCTAAACCGTGATATCATTGTGTTTGTACACAGTATTTCTAAGGTTTCAATTTCCAAGTCCCAAATATTTTAGTAATATTTGGATTTTCAATTTGAAAATAATACTTTTATAATTGATTTCAGAAAGAAAGAAAAAAACTTGCCAAATGCAATATTTTTAAGGGATATTTAGCCTTTGCACCCTCTTTTATACCCTTAATTAGCCTTTGCACCCTAATTTGAAAATTGTTAGTATCTACACCCTCCATCCGTTAGTTATCTGTCAATAGGTAAACAGAGGTTTAAAATGACGCCAATGCCCTGATGAAACTAACTTCCACAATCGTTCGCAGTCTTCTTTCTCAAAGAGCGTCAATTTGAATGTTCTCCCAATTGGCTTGGTGCGAGTGAATTAGGGCTGGGATGAACGAAGGAAATAGAAT